CGTAAGCACACTCGTTTTTTTATTATATAATAGCATTACGGAAGCAGCACCAAAGCCTTGTCAAGACTAGGTGGAACTGCAACTTTAGTTTACTACTTGCTTCGGCAACACCAACAAAGTGATCAAAGTAAAATGTAGGTAAAATAGATTTACTATGTGTTGATTTAAATAATAAATTACATATAAAATTTATACCGAGATTTAAGAGCTATCCCGTTTTAATTTTTACTATCGAAAATTTATTTGAAACGCGGAGTTATAGCCTGCTCAGACGTGAGACGGACGGACGAGATAGATTTGTTCTCTACGGAAAGAAGTCCTTGAAATGTTTCGTTTTCGTATTTGTTTTTATTGTGCTAAAATAAGTCGCGCTTGTTTTTGTTATATACGTACTTTATTTTATTATTATAGAATAATCTACATAACAAAATAAAGGGGCCATTTTATTTTTATGATAATATTTGTTATTTAGATCATAATTTTCGATGATGACGATACTGTACGGAGCTATCAAAAATTCGTGCTTGAGCACGGCCCATTCGGGCCTCTGGCCTTTGGGCCAGCTCGCGTTATTGGATTAAATTAAATTAAGAATTTAATTGTAGTATAGTATTTCCATAGTAGTATTTGCATAATTGCATGCATAGTATTAGCATAATGCTGATAATGAACTTCTCGTGATTGTTGTTTTTGTATTTTTTTATTCAAGAAGAATAATTAAATAATAAATTCCTGTTCTCGGTTTTCCTTTCTTTTCATTCCGGTGGGCGACGGCCTATTTCTCCTCTTGCAGTCACCAATTCGGTCACCCCAGGTCCTTCTCGATGGTATTTCAAGTTTAAGTATCTTTAATTTTATTAGCAATAAATAAATAATAAATATTTACAACACTCACACCAATTAGCCTAGTCCCAAAGTAAGCACTGTAAGGCATGTGTTATGGGATACTAGGGTAATCCCATTAATACGCTAATTATCATGATGATTTATTTCAATTTTTTCTATACAAAATTATCGTGAATAAAGGTACTTGTGTACTAAAAATCAATTAAGATCGTTGTTTGAATTAAAAATAATTTGTCGTTACTTAATTAAATTATATTAAAATATTATAACTATTTTTATTGTAACTACCACAAATCCACAAAGCTGTAGCTTATACCGTCGGAGATACCGCCGAAGTGATCAAACGCAATAATGTTCACAACTACAGTCTGTTTATTTTAACTTGTCCTATTGGGTGAACAATCTTGGCACAACTTGCCAAAAAGGAGTTTTTATAAAAAGGAGTTTTTATTGAAAATGCAGCATTAAAAATCAACAGATAACAAGATACAATAGGTTTCAGTCCATAATAACTATTGGAATACATTATTGACTTTGTTATTATTTTATTTTTAAGTGGGTGATTTTGTTAAAAAGTTGTGCCAAGATTGTTCACCCAATAGGACAAGTTAAAATAAACAGACTGTAGTTGTGAACATTATTGCGTTTGATCACTTCGGCGGTATCGCCGACGGTATAAGCTTATAAGAATCTTGGCACTAGTGCCAAGATTCTTTACCAGATGGGGCAAGTTATGATCAACGGACTGTACCCGATGAAGCACGATTCAATAACGTTACGTAAAAACGTATAAATGAAAAAAATATTATTTTTGTAATGTTAGTCAGTAGTCACCAAATACATTGGTCGAATAACATTTTATTGGTTATGTCTACATGAACGAGTATTGCAAGTTTATATGTACTTAACACATAAATTCAGCGTGACGCGTTACGTAGTGACAGTATTCGAAATCGAATCGCTAATAGGAAATTCCTTATGTCGCATGAAAATTTGTGCAAGACGAGAGCTTTATGGGAGACGAAAGATTCAAACGTAGGGTCCCTCGTCTATCTACATAGGTAACTCAGTCGTGAAGATTACAATGATTAAAACGCGAGTTAAAATAACCAAACAAAATAAATGTCCTTAACTGGTAAAATATGGACGATTCAAAAGAGTTGTATTTTGCATCCAATTTGAATAAAGATATTTTTACTTTTGACTTTTAAACATAAGAATTCTTATGCAACACTAGTATATATACCCAGACACTTCTACGGCATCATAAGTTTTAACCAATGTGGTTTTGACGGTCCCTAGCTAAAACTAAATGAATAAATATTACATTGATCAGAAAGTTTTTACGCAGTTTTGAAGCTGGTTTATTAGCAATCTTTTTCGTGTGTGTTTTTTTTTTAATATATAATTATTCCCAACCTAACTTAATAATATTTTTGCTACAGACCGTTGAAACTTATAACATTAAGAGGACCGAGAGTAACCGAGTTAATATGTAGGTTGTCTTTTATGGTATTTTAAACTTGTTCCAGATCTCACCTTCGTAAGGTCCAGTCATGGTGGTGTACTTCTGTGTATAGGAGGTTTCACTTTCAGAAAACAGCACGAAAGCCACAGTAGGACACGTTGGAATTGCTCTTCGCATTGCAACAAGAAATGCAAAGCTGTAGTTTATACCATCGGTGACACTAACGAAGTGATCAAATGCTACAATGTTCACAACCACTCCATTAAATTGAAATATCAAAATGTTTAAATCATCATCATCATCATCAGCCTATTAATGTCCCCACTGCTGGGGTACAGGCCTTCCCTATGGATGGAATAGGGAGATTGGGCCATGACCCACCACGCGGGCCTAGTGCGGGTTGGTGGGTGCTAACGACTGCAGATGCTGTGCCTTCCGAAGCACGGAGGAGCTCGAGATAGTAAATTTTTGGTCACCCATCCAATGACCGACCACTGCGAAAGTTGCTTAAATTCAACGAACTTAGCGGAACGCGCTAACCACTTCATTCTCATATTTAAATAATAAAGTTTATTATTAATATTTAGTTCTGTATTTATTATATAAAATTATCGTAAATAAAGGTACTTGTGTACTAAAAATGAATCGTTTTTTGAATTAAGAATAATTTGCAATTTATTAATTAAATGATCTAATATATAAAATTCTCGTGTCACGGTGTGCGTAATTGAATTACTCCGAAACGGCTCGACCGATTTTCGTGAAATTTTATATGCATATTCAGTAGGTCTGAGAATCGGACAACATCTATTTTTCATCCCTAAAAGTTGATTTTTTTGGATAAATTTTTAGTTATTTTTTTGATACATCATGCAAAAATACTTACAACTCTAAATTTTCACCCTTCTACTACCAACCCCTATTTTTAATGGCGGTATGAAGTTCGCTGGGACAGCTAGTATTATAACTATTTGTAAAGATATTTAATGTGCGTGTTTAGTTATTAAATAACTATCTACAAACCTACACATCCACAAGTACAACTTTATAATTTTCTAATGTTAATTAATCGATACCATAAATAAATATGTACTTAAGGTTTTTCTAGATTGTAAAATTGTATAGAGGGTTGGAGGCGGAGTTACTGGTGTACCAAAATACAGGCAGAGCGCTGCCTTGTTTAGACTCCAGTCTCCCACAGACACGTAAATTTATTTTTCTCAGACATGATTGGAAATGTGATCATTATTTCGGCAACCTTCTTCGAGATAAATCGAAAATACAACTGGCCAAATACATACAGCAGCGGCCGGCAAAAGTTGTAAAAGAATCCATATTTTTCATATAGTAAACTTATATCTATCGTGTAATTTAAAAATGGTACAATCTTTTATTCCAGAGCGTGGTAACCAAGGAGGTAACTTATCAAAGATTTTATTCAAATTTGGAACTGGAATTAAAAATGGAAACTTGTTTACCTATACAAAAAAAACAAATGAACACTAACACGGGAAAAATAATGATTGTTCCTTGTACGTTACAGATTTTGAAAAGTAATTATTTGGGAAAAGTATTTTATAAGCCTTGGACACAACTAGGCATTACTAGACTTACGTATGTTGGCCGAGGCTATACACGTTCGTCCATCAATTCCTCTTTTGCTGGCCGCTGCAGTAATGTACTATTAACAACCTATGGATGATCTGTTAATGTTTGTGGAGTCTATCCCTTTTTTGTAATATGATTTTCATTTGATGACCTTAAACATAGGGCATTTTGCTTACAAGAACGTCCCTACTCCCTAATACGTGGAGCTTAATTGACTTTCTCACTACAAGTGATACAGGATTAGTTCAAGACAAAGAATTTGTTGAATTATGAGTAATTGTATGGCATATGTTGTTACATATATAATTAATATCTTATTATCGGAGCAACTGAACACTTTTTTTTTAATTTTGTTTTATTCAGCAGTCAATAAACCTGTTTAGTATTTCAAGTAGAGGTAATGTTTCGCTTTGTTTTACGTAGAAAATGTGTATCCTAATATTTATTGCAGAGTCTCTCAACGAAAAACAAAAAGAAGCAATTTGCCGATTACATAAAAAATATTTTACCCAATGTCCTATGTCACAAGAAAAATATTGAAAAACGGGCTATGAACGCTTATCTCCCAACAGTCAAGTAAATGTTACATGCACCTATGTTACAAGGTTTTCTATTCTTGTAACATAATACAATTTTAATGCCATGATATTCATTCAGAAAATCACGCTATCTCTGGAATAATGCTATTAGTATACCTACAGTAAGACAACACATTTACACAACAAAGTGATCTGACTGATATCTTTATAATGTTCTATTGTGTTGTTATTTTTTAAGCACTAAGCTGCTTTAATTTTATACCTCAATAAATTTTACTAGAAAATTCCACTCGAAGGAGGAACAGGTACGAACCCTGTCTGGAACCTGGACTATGTATACTTTTCCTAGTAATAAAATCTTTAACTTTCTTTAGAATACTCATAAAAGAAATTCTTTAGAATTCATGTAAAGAAATCATTTAAAACCTCTACTTTTTCTCTGCAGATGCTTCATTCGAATGGACACGACGTGGTAATCTAGTAATGACAATCAATGGCTTTAGGTTCAGTCAGCAACAAAGTCACGGCTTGAAAACCAGATGGCAGTGCAGTCGCCACAGCAGAGGCTGCAAAGCTGTGGTGGTCACCCTCACGGAAAACCACACGATTCTTTGGGAAAAACACCAACACAATCATTGAGATTTTTCACAAGACTTGACAAAATTACTAAATTTTATAAAACACATTTTTAACGGGTATATACTTATTTTGAACTTTTCGAATGCTAAACATCCTCCGTGCCTGCGGATGTAATATTAAAAGGAAAAAGAGCCTATCTATGTCTTAGACCCGTATTACAGAATGACATGATGCTAGAAGCATGCTTCTAGCATTCTACATGTAGCATGCGATCTGATAATCTTTTGACAATACGAGTCGTATGGCCACATCATGGCGATATTTAACATGAAAATATGTATGTTTGTTGGGATTTCATTTCTTTTTGTAAGTTGCTTGTGACAGTTTATGTTTTGAAGTTTATAAAGTATTAAATTGTTATTTTTTTTTTATAATAATAAGGAGTCGCTATATCAATTTTCAAACCTTTAGCTCAATTTTCAGAACTCTAGCGTTAATTAGCAGAATTCTGATACAAACATCCATCCCCTAGTTTAATGGATTGGGGGATAAAAGTTATAAATTTTATATTTTTTTTTATTTGTGCACTAAACTAGCTTACATACCAAATTTCAGCTTTCTAGTGCATTAGAAAATATCCAAAGAATTTGGATGATCACCAGTAAGTCAGTGACGAAATCAGGGTTTTTAAATATCAACAAAATGTTAAGTACAAGAGCTATGCAATAAAAACTGTTTATGTTTAATAAGTCCTCTATTACATATCCCAGGAAATTTGTGTATTTGGTATAATCGAACCCCAAGTTATAAGGGTTCAAAAGACGACGTGACATGATTAGTAAGATTGGTAACATTAGCTGACATTTGCGAACATCAGGATTTTACATAGGTTGCTTCAAAGATGTTCAATATATTATTATTTCACTGTAATAATTCAATTTCAACCCAATCTTTTCTTCTTCGTTAATTTTAAAGAAGACAAGAAATCATAACGCACTTACATACATTTATGTATACCTGTCATATTTTTGTTCTAGATCCAATGTTCATAATGTCGAATCAGGGCGGAGTTCTCCTGTGCATTGGAGGTTATACTTTCAGAAAGCACCGCCAGCGATCTAACAAGACCCGCTGGAACTGCTCCTCGCATAAGAACTGCAAGGCTGTGGTCTACACCTCCGACGACACCAACGAAATAATGAAATGCAATAATGTCCACAACCACCCAATCAGGGTCAATAAGAAAATGTATACATATGATTATGTAAAGAAAAGAAAACTATTTAATTGACCTGTTTAATAAATACACAAAATACATATACACGACAGCGTATTTCTGTTACATAGCCTTATACAAACTTATGTGATTGTTGGAACTATCTTACAAGCAAGAAATTATTAGGATGCTCATCTATAATCTAGTAACAATAGACCAGTTGATATACCGCCTTAAATATATTTAATTACAATATTTTTTACAACATTAATCTGTTTACCTGCTCTTCTAGCATCTAAGCTAGGTACATCAGCTCCATTTCATCCATTTGAGCTAATAAACTAATTTGTTTTAATTGTATCATCATCATCATCATCAACCCATGTTCGTCCACTGTTGGACATAGGTCTCCCCTAATGCACGCCACTGCTCCCGATTTTGTGTTACTCTCATCCAGCCCACTCCAGCCAGCCTACGAACATCATCACCCCATCTTGTCTCAGGGTGTCCTACACTACGTTTACCGGATCGCGGTATCCACTCAAGAACTTTCCGGCTCCAACGGCCATCAGTTTTGCGGCTAATGAGACCAGCCCACTGCCACTTCAGTTTGCTAATTTCGGTGGGCTATGTCGGTGACTTTGGTTCTCTGTCTGTCTGTCTGTTTTAATTGTATACAAATCTTTAAGTGGGAGTAAACCTAGCCGAGTCGATTTCTTCAACTCTGAAATGTATTTCAACTTATTCTCACAACCACCTCTTATTAAATTTTATATTTAAGAATTAGTAATAAAGCGTTTTCAGTCCAATTTCAGTCGTATCCTTTTTTATTTTTGTCAGATTAAATTAATAATTTATTTCTTTGCTCTCCAGAACTTACGTTTATTGAGTCAACACGAGCTCGAGGTGGCGTAGTAATATTAATGGACGGCTATCGGTTCAGCATGCACCGGCAAAGTAGACTCAAAACGCGTTGGTACTGCTCGACTCATCACAGCAAAGGTTGTAAGGCTGTCATATACACCTTCGAAACTGCCGAAATCTTCAAATGCATCAACACTCACAATCACCCAAGGATATATTAATGATTTTTAGGGAACTGGAAAAAGTGGAAATATGCAAAGTATTTATTGTTTCCAGACAAGTACTTCCATCTTTCTCCAAAGAAAATGGAACAGAATCTACGTGCTTTATTTTTGTCACTAATTGGAAATGGACAAAGTTTAAGAAGAATTGTACTCGTGTGTTGTTTATTAAAACATATTTATTATTATTTTATGTTTATTTTATTATCTTTATATATGAGCAATGAGATATTAAGTAAACTAAAATTTTAAATATTATATTCCATAGTACGAAACTTTATTCTAATTGCAAGAGGATTTTTCTTAAAGATTCATCTCGGAACGAATTCATCTCAACAAAAAGAGCTGGGCTTTCAATATTGCACAAAGGGCGTCGATATCACAGAAAGAAAATCTATATAAACGGAGAAATTTCTACAAATGCTATGCCAAATACTCGTGCAAGGGAAATGTGACCTTAAATACAGGTAACGTAAACACCAAACTGAGGGCGCATGATGACGACTGTCAAGTGGACTTCAAAAAGAATAGCATTTTGAAAATGAAAAGCCAACGCAAAAGAAAACAGGTTAACAGAACCTCTTATATTAAATAAAAGTAAAAAAATTGTAATTATTCATATTGAGTAGATTATTGCCTACCTGTGAAAAAAAACCTGCTACAAAGTTGTCTACAAGAACGCACTCATAGACAGTATAGATAGAGACAGTTAAGCCTTAAGTTTGATTAAAGTTAATTTTCCAACATACGATGTCACTTTCTTTGTGATTAAAATAGATAAAACAACATAGGTATAATGTTCAGAAACTATTAAACGTGATTGACGTATTTTACTCTTTGATCAACAATACTATAATCAAATCGTTTCGAACAACAAAATCGCCGCAATATTAAATAAAAAAAATAATGTTAGCAGGAACATAAAATACGCTGTTAACACCGATCAATTCATAGAAAAACGAACAAGTTAAAATTTATTAATGTGGCACAAACTGAAAAAAAAGTAAATTGTAAAAACAATGAATAGACGCGACTGCTGAAATGATCTTCAAATAAAAAAACTAATCTAATTTAACAGTTTGGTCCCGACTGTTCCTTTGTGTAGATTGGCTGCGCATAAAAATTATTAACAATAACTAGTCCGCCATCTTGTATGTTCCGCTATATTGGATTTAGAATGACGTCACACAGCTCATCATGTATTGTCACCTAAACTTAACGTGTGTACAAAATTTCAACTCAATTTAATGAAGACATCTTCTTCAAAATTCCACCCGAACAAGCATACATACTTACATATGTTGTACATACATTGCAAGTTAAATAAAAGCTTTAAAAAAAGCAAGTCCGGTAAGATAAAAATAAGCCTCACACATCCCCGCACTAGTAAATATCTACTATTTCCCCCCCCTTTTTTATAAAAAAGGGTAGCAAACAAGCATATGGATAGGCTGATAATAAGATGCTTGTTACACCAGAGTGTCACTTGCGCCGTAGACTGCCTTGCTACTCACGTAGTCTACCTTGATATCACTTGCGCTATAGTCTACCTTGGTACCTCCTAAAGCCCTTGAATTTTCCTGTTACTCACTCACACAATATCACCAATAGGTGGTATTTCATGCGGCACATCCGCTGTTTACCTTGCCTCTCTGAATAATTATTTAAATAAAAAAACTGATTTTAACCCTTTGTTCAACTCTTAAAAGACAGTTTTTCTCTTTCCAGGTGTCAGAATCTTGCCTCAATCCTTGCGTGGCAGACCCATAGTGATGATAGAAGACCATACGTTCTCTTTTCATAAAAAGTATGGACTACGGACTCGATGGCGATGCTCCAAGTCCTGGAAGGGGTGCAAGGCATCTGTAATCACTGTCGAGGACATCGTCACCAAATCCTACCTCTATCATGATCACCGAGACGACGTATAATTTGAAGGAATCTAGCTCTTGTATTTATTAGTATAATAAATACTAATAATACTTTTGGGAGATTTTATAAATTTAAGGATAGGTAGACCATTAACTGTGACCCAAGTGACTTTAATGCCCACCACACTAAGTGGTTTAATTCTCGGTTCTGAACACACAGAGAGATAGATCTGGGTACGATTTTGCTCGGGTTTGTGATCTCTCTTATGTAATATAGTTTTCCAAGAGTATACCTGTTATAGAGGACCATACTGGCCTCAAAGATGGCATACCAAATAAATAAACAAATACTAGTTCGATGCCAAATCTTTAAACATGAAACTTGGTATTAAGGAGTCACCTTTTTGAGGCCAACGACATTAAAATATTATATTGATATTGACGTACTGTTTTTATTTATTTAGCTTGCGAAGAAGTTGTATCCGTTTCAAGGATACAGAAACAATATTTTGTGACCAGGAACTTTAACAGAAAGGAAACCTGAACCATTATAAATGCGAATGAATTTGGCGTAACTTTTTTAGTTTTTCATTTCAGGAGCCATCTTCGCGACAACGGCTAGAGGGGCGATAGTGATATACCTCGGAGGTCATAAGTTCCTTCGCCATCTCACACACGGTGTTAGGACTCGTTGGTACTGTGCATCTCACCACCATAAAGGCTGTAAAGCCGTCGTGCACACCATATACAACAGAGTCGTCAGGTGCAATATACAACACAACCACGGCAAACGATGTTGATACAGAATTATTATGGGCTTTTTGAACTGCTGCCAGTGGACATAAATGAAAATGAAACACCGAAATGTATGAACGCGCATAACTTTCGAAAGAATGTCCAAAATTAGTTTTTATTATTGTGTTCATTGTAGTCAGGACAATGTTTGTATATAAGATAATAAATAAATAGTTTTCTGAACATCATATTATGAAACGTGATTGATTGAATGAGACAGAAGACTCTGGGAGATCTTCAATATATTGACAAACTATAGATAGAGGACAGAAATAGTTAAGTATTTCTGGAATTACGAAAATTTACACGAAGAAAAATGTTGCAGCACATAATTCGCCGGGTCAGCTAGTAGGAAAACAAATCTAAATGCTATTAGATAGCTATTGTTAGCGGTTTTAAAGCTAAAATCATTCGTCATCTAAATGGATACATCAATTCTTAATGCTCATCTAAATCAAAACAAAAGCGCGTTATTAAGTTGTTATTCTCTTAACTTTTTAAATTATGCTCAAGCGCATACCCTTGATTGATTATGGTAAAATATTTATGTATATTTTTTTTATATTAAAAGCAAAGCTTCTAGCTTTATCTTAAATATCTAAATCTTGAAGAGTGCCATTTTTTCACGTTACATGTTTTTGTGGGTTGTCATAGTGTGCTTTTGTAGATATCCAATCATAAACAAGCCAGGCTTTTCAATTTTGAAATCGTCTAATTTTGATCTTAAGGTTTGATTGAATGTACATATTATGTTTGACATCTTCATGATTTATATTGTACCTACTTAAGTCTAGATCTCTATAAAGTAATAATATAATGTTAATGTTCTATTGTTAACTTTCCTGAAAATACCCAAGTGTTGTAGCTGCTTCTTTTAGGATATTTGTAGGTACCTGATGTCCAATGTATCATGAAATTGAAAGGACCTGGTGTTTTCTTTTTAATAATGAATATATGATTTCCATATTTTACATTGCTTGTGTATTTTTAATTTCTGATATTTTAAAGTGAAGGCATCCATCATGAAGACTAGAATAAGTAGCCCATCCACCAACGTCACCATCATCACGTGAATATGGTTCTATTCCTTTTGACCTTGAAAATATATTAATGCTACATTTTTTATATTTTTAAAAGTTGTTCTGTATACTATCATCTTAATAGTTTTCTTAACGAAATCACCATTTTGTAGGATCAATATTTGTAACGTCGACACGTGGCGAAAAATTTATCATCATATCCGGCTACAAGTTTGCAAAACATATGCAAATGGGATTGAAAATTATGTGGCGATGTAAGCATTCCGGCTGCAAAGCGTTTGCCTATACCATTGGAGAAAACAACATCATTAAGTGTAACAATACTCATAATCATGATCCTGTTAGCTGGTGAAAACACCAGATAACAGAAATCTGACAGTATCGAAGACGCAGTTACGAGCTTTGAGTTATTTTAATTGAATTTGATCATCACTTATCTCCGGAATTGAGACCAGAGTTAAGTGAAATATGAATTACAATTTATGTCTGTGAAAGATTAAAATTTAATTGTACAGGTGACACATTCTCGTACTTGTAATATGGAATAAAGGCTAAATATACTTAAATTTTGGTAGTTGTTCTATCATTAATATAAGTTCCTTAATAAAATATATTATCAGTTCATCATAATAATTTATTTTAAACCTGGAAAATATTAGTACTCAGATACTAATTTAAAAATTATGATATATTAATGATTATTGCAGCAATATAATAATCAATTAAAAAAAACAGTCAATCTAAGTTTGCACATATGAGATACTGTAATATTCAAGTAGATTTATTGTATACGAAGAATATCAACCAGAAACTTACGCTTCCTTAACTTATTGTTACCGCACATAATAAAGGGTTACCACAAAATGCATTTATTCGATCTATTTTGAAATTTATTTCAAACGGGATAAAACTTATAATCGGTTGGAAAAATATGCCATGTCAGATAAATTGCCTTAGTTTTATTTATCTCGGTATTGTATTTAGTCATTAGGTTATTACCGGTAGGTGCATGTTTTACACACACCGTTTTTCATAATTTCAAAAAATACAAATCATTTCTTTATTCTCTTAATTGAAGAGTAAGTAAATGATATTCGAAATATCCCCTAAATTGGACAAGGCATAACGTAAAAAAACTATATCTTGCAAATAATTATGGTACCTATATGGAATCCCATTAAGAATATGTAGAACAATACATGTATAGTCTAACCTACCTACTAGTCTACCAAAATAAATCTCTAATTTTGTTCGAAGGATTACACCGATTAATTTATTTGTCAACAAACGTTAATAGCGATGAAGCACTTAAGATTCCAAAAACGAACATGTATTTTTTTTCAGGGTTTACTTTTCAATATATTCAGACGCCGAAACGAAAAAAGCCATTGCTTATGTTGGACAAGTACACTTTCACGCAGACCACTATGGACCAACGTTACTGGAACTGCTGCAAGAAACTGTCCGTCTTTTCTTGTCCTGCCAAGCTCCGTTTTAACTACGATGGAAAATTGATTTACTACGAGCTGAACCACAATCATGATCCTCCCAACTTTTTTATCACCAAAGATGGCAAATATGTCAAAATTTAGTTCCACGTTATTAAAATTCCTTGCAATTGCTTCTGTACTCTTGTGGTGTTCTAGTTCTAGATCTATTTCAGATAAATAGTGAGATTACATTTTCAATCACAGTTAACATAATGATGTAAATTGTTTTCCAATCTTAAAATTATTAGCATCATATAATGGGACAGGACTTGCAGTTCTGTATTTTATGTAGGTACGTACCGAATATATAATATCATAATGAAATTATTAGCTAAAGTTATAGCCATTTCAATATCCATAATCAGTATAGGCGGTAGGCCCCCTGTTCGCGCTAAGTAGTTTGACTTTTAAATTTGCCGTGTAATTAACACAACATCACTGAATTTCAAATTACGAAGAAATAAATGTATTGAGGTCCGATACGATTGTAATTAATTTATAAATGAACTTATACAATAAATAAGGTGTAAATCGACCTATCCATAGAATAAATTACATCTGGTGTATCACAAGGCTCACATTTAGAGCCACTTGTCTTTAATATTTTTAACAACCTACTACAAATATTGAATTTCTCGTCATGTTTCTTGTCTGCGGACGATTTGAAACTCTCGAAAACCATTCATAAAATGAACACGAGCATCAGTATGAATCTTTGTCTATGTGCTCTCTTTACTCATGTGGCCCTGCCTCGTAGGACCCTTGAACCTTACATAATAATAAATTATTTTTAATAAAATGTTTTGTTTCTTTACCATACATCTGATGAGACTCATTTACACGCTGCAATTTTCTTGTATATACGGGAGCAATAATTGAATACAATAAATGAGGTGCAATATTGACCTTCAAGAATTGTAAGCAACTGTTTTACACGCGGATATAGTACAAAGGTTGCATAGAAGTTGCATAAAACTATTGAATGCCAATTTTGCGACGAATTGCATACGTCTTTTGTTAACACCAATACATTTATGTTTAGGAGATTATTGCTTTCAATAATTTGCATGTCAAACACTTGTATGTACGTGTACCGTTTTTTGGAGAGCTGCTTCAGGTATTTTATGAACAATATGATTGAACAATTGTTAAAAGTCGGTTCTGCTAATTTAAAAAGGACACTGCAATTTATCGCAATCATGAATGTTTATGAGACACTAACAGCGTAAACTACAAAAATTGTGATGCACGTAATGCTACACTACAGCATTCAGCTTGGGAATTTAGAGTTGATGGATTTGGAACTAAAGCAATAACAAACAAAAAAAATTGCGTTAATGTTGTGGAACACTTTATTGGAACGAAGTTAACAATATCTCCAAAAGGTGTTATTATTTCACTGTAGACTTCTGTGAGGTTACCTCCCCAATGTGCACAAGTGGGCATTCCAATTTGAGCGGGATTTCTGCTCTTGACTTACGTCTCTGTATAATTATTTAAATAAAGAAACCCTACGTTCATATTTATAGGTTAGATTTTGTTTCTAGGTCTCAGAGTCGTGCCTCAAGCTACGCGTGGCAGAGCCATAGTGATAGTAGATGGCCATACGTTCTCTCTTCACCAAAATTATAAATTCCGGACTCGATGGCGATGCACAAAGTACTGGAAGGGTTGCAAGGCATCTCTAAACACTGTCAATAACATCATCAGCAAATGTAATCTTCATCATGAACACCAAGGCAACGTGTGATTAAATCTAGTTGCTGTTTCCAAATTAATAACAAAAGCCAAATTTCAAAAATAAATAAACCCGACTGCTTTAAAAGTACCTACCTTAAATAAAAACTGAAAAGAAAAAACAAGTCCAGGAGACGATAATTCTGTTATGTAAAGAACAAAGTTACTTGAACAGTCGGGACCCATTAAATATTCTAGAATGGATCCTTTTTTTAGGGTTCCGTAGTCCTGACAAGGAACCCTAATAGTTTCGTCATGTCCGTCTGTCTGTCCGTCCCCGGTTTTGCTTGGACACTGTTAGCACTAGAGAACTGTGGAGATATGTATATTAATCACGCCAACAAAATGGTAGCTAAAATTATAAAAAACTATTTTTTTGGGTATCTCTACGGTACATGTAACCTGGGGATGTTTTTTTTTCATCGTCTACCCTATCGTGTGGGTTATCGTTGAATAGGTTCTTAAAATTACTTAGGGGTTTCCAAGGCTCGTATTACAGAATGACAACTAAGTATTGATCTTTACTTGAGTACAGTTAGAAAGGGATGTCGCTATATATATCACATCGCGACATCCCTTTCTAACTATACTCAAGTAAATGACAACACTTAGTTGTCATTCTGTAGTAGGAGCCTAAGACTATTATTATATTATATTGAACTTGTTCGAGTAGGGCGTCTCCCCCCTCCCCCTCTAAAAGCTAAACTATTAGCTGGAAAACCCTGGAAAAAGGAAAATTATAACGGTTTACATAGATTTGTTAGTTTAGGAGAAATAGCCGTTTAACTTTGGTTAAAGATTTTTTTTAACTATTGAAAATTCCTTAAAAGAAAACATTAATAGTGACATAAATGAATTTATTGTAGCGTAAAACCTTGCATCTAAAAATAAAACCTAAAAAAAACTATTGAGAAAACCACAATAAATTTCCATTTTCGTATTTAAATAAAAAATGAATATCGATCGAATATAATTGATTTGAAGTTTCAGACGCAGTTAGTTAGACTTTGATTTAGTTATTTTAGTTGAGAGAAATTGCTCGATATCAATAGCGTTTTTTAATTTCCGTTACAGAAAATAAAGACTCCTGCTCAAATATATTGTGGTAACGACAGGCAACTATCTACACAGTGTACGGTTTCTTAGTTACAAAACTCAGGTCCGATTATGCATAGAGTTCGGCAGCTTGCAGCCACTTTTGAGATAGCTTGGCCAAATACCAACTTGACGCACTAGATGCGGTGAAACGGTAAAACGATGTGTTTTTAGATATAACACAAATTATACGGGAACTATTAAAGACAAGACAAACGTGTTATTTCATTCGTAATTACAGTTTTAAAGAAATTAATGTAAAAAGATTTAGTAATTACTTATTTCGTCAGTTGCTAACATCTTTGACACATGGAGGCTACAGAGTGAGAAGTAATCTGTTTTATGCATGAGAGTGAAAGAGACTACTCTAGTGCGCTCTATTGGTGGTTGTTGCCAAGAGAAGCTGGGGTGGGGATTTCTTGTGCCATTTTAAATTGCCATAATGTTGGCGTATAACCTGTCTATATATTATACGCGCCATTGTATTGTTCACTGTTTTTAAAATAGATTTGTTACTGCTTCTTTTAGTACCAGAGGATCAGAGTGATATGTGTACTGTAGTAGATAGAGGTACGTGATGTCAACTTTATTATGTAATTTAAGTGACATTATGAAATTTTGTAATTAATAAATAATAGGTGGTTTACTCAATTTTATTATTTTATGTTTCTGATATTTTAACGTGATTAAAGTGCCATCTTAAAGACTAAACGAAGCAGTCCAGCAACGTTACCATCATCACGTCAATTTGATTCAAATTCTTTTTTCTTCAAAATGTTTATCCTATTCTTATTATTTCTTAAGAATGTTCTGAATATCATTATCTTATTGCTTTAAACCAAATGGCTGTTTCGTAGGAGCAATGTTTGCAACATCAACACGTGGCGCCAAAGTTATCATCATATCTGGCTACAAGTTAGCAAAACACATGCAGGTGGGATTCAAAACTAGGTGGCGATGCAGGTATACTGGCTGTAAAGCGGTCGCCTACACCATTGGAGAAAACATCGTAAAGTGCAACAATATCCATAATCACAATCCTGTTTTCTGGTGAATAATATAGAATTACGTTATTTGATTAATAAAGAACACTAATAGTATACGTTCGTTGAGAACAACAAATACAGAATACAGATCTCAATTGTAATTTAAATAAAATTTGCCAAAATTGCTGCGCCTATTAGAGTTTTTAGTAACAAATAACATTACAGTCAAAACAGAAATTACGTCACTTATTTTTGATCATCAATAACTGAATCCTGAAAGACAAGACCTGTGTTGTACAAATGACACATTTTCACTTGGTGTATGGAAGGCTTAATGAAGGCATTAAAATTTTGATATTTGTTTTATTGTTACTCTTCTTCCAATAAAATATAATTTCAGTTCAGCATAGTTTATTTCCATCTTGTAAGTATTTATTTAAATCAATCAAAATATGAGGATTGCACTAATCAACTTTGTTAAAAATATCAAAAATCTTTAACGCGCGGGAAAACACGAAAGACTCAAAAACGAACTTTGTTTCAGATTTATCCTTCGAGTATATTCAGACGCCGCAACGCAAAAAGCCATTGCTAATGTTGGGCAAGTACACTTTCACGCAGACCACTTCAGACCAACGTTACTGGAACTGTAGCAAGAAACCGTCCACCTTTTGTCAAGCGAAGCTCCGTTTTAACAGCGACGGTAAATTGGTACACTACGAGCTGAACCACAATCATAGTCCTCCCAAGTATGTCGTCACCAATGATGGCAAATATGTCAGAATTTAGTTCTACGATAGTGAAAAGATGGCAAATATGTCAGAATTTAGTTCTACGATAGTGAAAAGATGGCAAATATGTCAGAATTTAGTTCCACGCTAGTGAAAATCCTAGCAAGTGCTTATGTACTCTTGCCGTGCTCTGGGGGTCTGAAATAGCGAGATTGACCTTATTACTACACCAAAAGTAAGACATGCGTACAACACAAGTTTAAAAAAAATACATAATTTGCTAAACCAGGTTTAAAATAGTATCTAACTTTTACGTCTATCATCTCTTCTTCATTCTTACTCTCATTTTAATATATACCTTATGAGATTCAAAAATAACGTGGCCTTCTTTTGGTAAAAGAGTTGTCAAAATCGGTAGTAGATAGGCGCGGAAGGGATTACAAAAGCGAAAGTGTTATTAAAAAAAATATTATAACACCCAAATGGATGTTTTAATGTTGACTTATTGCTAACTGTATCAGAATCTTTAATAGTGATTTAAGAGCATGGGTGTAGATAAAAGTGTATAATGTCACCAGCAAAGTAGACAATACTATTCAGGCATTTTTGGTAAACTCAGATATGGTTCAGAATTGTGACTGTCAATTAGGTATTGCTTATTGTAGAGATTTCTTTTTAGAAACTGCCCGTATTTATTTCTAGTGCTAATACCTTATTTTGTCTTATAATAAAATTTACTAAATCTGCTATTACAGTAGCATCGCCTAATTTTGTAAGACTTAAAAACAATCGATCCTGATTATATTATATTATACTTTATTAAAATAATACAATATATTTTTTTTAAATTTCCAAATGCTACTGAAGGTATTCATATCACCGTGACCGGGATATAACCACCAATTAATAGAAGCAAACGGGGAAGAAGTTACGGCAAAGAATAAAATCAAGGACCTATTTGACTTTCATTGAACTGGCAACACTGAAGAGTGCACTTGTCAAATTTTAGTACTCGTATTTAAATTTATAATTAATTATTTTAATTGTGTTTATTCGTGTTAAAGTTACAATAAACAGTGAGATAATATTGTGTTAGTTATGTAAAATTGAAATCACGAAGTTTCAATACAAGGATTTTGAATAAACAACACATCAAGTTCTCATCAAACTGTCAACGGATAGTTGAAGAAATATCGGCTCTGATAAGCAATATTAGCACCAAAT